GCTCTTTGCGGTGAAACCTATCTTCCCGGTGTGCCTTGTTGATGCCGTTATGTGCAGGTGATCGTCGAGTACTGCGATATTTTGTATTCGTTGTTCGATGCATCAGTAATCTGTCTTTTCGTCTAAGTGTATAAGTTTCACTACTCACGAACAAGATCAGGCTTCCCCATATTCTTCTTCTTGATTAATTCTTTCGGTTTCTGCTCCCTGCATCTTCAATTCCAGTATTGCTGTGAGACTGCTGATCTCTCCTGGGTAGAGAGCACCCAGTCAAGTAAAAGCTTGAGAAACGCGATGTCATTTTAAAATGCCACCATTTCTCCAGAATTCTTCTGCCTTTTCTTGCCCCTGTCGATCAGCCGTGTGATGTGAAAGGCTTGTATAGAGAATTTGTTGGACCTAATTACCCTTTCAACGTTTCACATTCAGAGATTTCTTTGGAGCACAATAAGCATACAGAAAAGACACAACGATTTCTTGGACTACCTCAATGAGAAAACTTTGGAGTGATAAACAATCCCCACCGGAGAGCGCGGGGGGCGCAGATGGTCATCCGATTGCACCCGTACGTTGGGCCGTCTGTTGGAGGGAAAGAAGGATTTTTTATCATCTGAATGGAAGCAGCCTTGTGTGGATGCCTCTGTCAGAGACGTTAGGATACAGGGGGCATAGACTATTTCTGTGCAGGGCAGAGGGCAAGATGGGAACATATGTTGCGCATATGCGTCTACCCATCTGGATGGCACGATCTAGATCCGCAGGAGGATATTTTTGCCGCTAAACACCACGACTGACCTGCCGAAGCATCTATTCTTGTTCAAACTCTACTGCGCTGACTGGTAAGCTTCTATGCGTTGTGTTTATGTGCACAAGCGAAGGAAAGTCACTCTCAAACTTTGAAGAGCAGCATCTCTGCCTTGAATGCCTTATTTATACTCGCTACCGTTTTCCCGAAAAGAAACGGGAAATTGACAAGCTTTGTAACGGCAGGACCAAAAATATTACAAGAAGACTGCTGTATATGTGTGTCTCTTGAGGTTTAGTTTCAACACCCTGTTCATTGAAAATCCCGATCTTAAGAATAGGAAAGCAGGTCGATTCCCATGGCAGAATTCAAGTCGTTGCTACGACATATACTACCGTAAATATCCCTTGGGCGCAGTACCATATGTAGGGAGTGTTAGACTCGTGTCTGCATCTGCACACAAGCACGGAACCATATGAAGTCTACCTTAACAAACTGATTAATCTAGACGAAGGTTTGCGTTCTATCACATATAGAAGAATCCTTCGATGTCTCAGGGGCAACGAGGGCGTTAGTGTTGTTCGTTGTTAACCTTATATCGCAGAATGGGATGCAGTAATTGCACCAAAAGCATTGATTGTCACGCAGTATCAGGTAGAGAGCACATAAAACGAATCGAACTGCATATCTTTTGATTCCACTGGTGGCGAAAGAAGAAATCCTTGGAACACTCCCTTTTAAGAGCAGACACGTTACGCAATGAGTGCTACTATCACTATCACGCGTTTGCCCGTTTCGAAGTGCAGACTCTGCACGATGCGTCATACACGTCGCAACTGATAAAGATGTTGGAAGGACTTTAACCCTCACGAATATTGTGAGTAATTGAGTGTACCCACTCCTCCGTCCCCCTCTGTTCCTTTTACAGAAAGCGAAAATCGACGGAATGAATGGAAGATGCTTCCATGGACAAGAGATGGAATTGTACAAGGTTCTTGTGACACGGCCTCCGTGAAGCCATATATTTATTCCTTCTTGTGAGTCTGTGACCTGCACAATCCCTGAAATATAGATATGGGAGAGCCTGACGTCGTGACAGCAATTTCTCCTCCCTGCAAGGCGATATGCGCTGAGTGCAATAAACAAATGGCAATGTACTAGTACTTTTCGCTGTGCACTTACTTTTTCGTACAAATACCGAGAAACAAATCCCCCTCCTCAAGCGATCAGATGGAAGAATGGAAAGATATGGATATGGAGAAACGAATTTTCCACTGCAGCGAACCCAGCCTACGATTTAGAGACAGCACGATTTCGATTGCATTTTGACCAGTTGCTGTTTTGTCGCGGAATAGTACCTGAACATATCCTCTCTTTGCTGACCTAGAGTGACAATACATGATTGTACTATGTAACCAGATGAAGGGGAGCCCTTTGCCAAGTTTTCATTGCTAACATCATCGGCCTGTTCCTTCTTCTGCAACAAGCAACGCAGCTACTGAAACATGGTCGATGGCCATAAAGGAAATTGCGAGGTGAGTCGCTGGGGTGTCTTCTCAATCAGTAAGATCAATTTGGGTTGTTGAGGGTGCTTATGAAAAGAAATCTCACATGCGACCTTGCAGAACATACAGCTAACTTTTCCCTTTAAAGAGAAGCTGAGTCCCAGGGGGTTCGAAAAGCTGACTGGGATCACGCAAAGGTCCGACACTACGTCCCCCGTCTCGTCGACAGGCACAGATGCTCTCGCTTCTTTTCCGTCTAGAAAACTGGGCGTGTAGGGTCAAGCATACTTCGTCGCAACTCAATAGCATTTGAGTTCTTTTTCCACCTGCCTATTGGGGTTGCTACTGCTCAGTGCAAGGTGAATTAAACGGGCTTTTTCTGTTGCAACCGTAGTTAATTTTCTACTGGTGCAGAAAAAGAGCACCGTGTTGGCAGTTTGTTGAGCAACTCAAGAATAACCACACGGCAGAGGGCAGGCAAAATGACACGAAGTGTAGGGTGGATCATGCCAGAATGGTTTCTGCTCACGGAGCGGAAAGTCCACTAGCGTACGACGGCGTTAAGGGTTCTGGGTGCGCCTTGTCAGGATGAAAACGTACGTTGACTAGTTTCCCATGGCACCAGAGGTCTCAATTGTTTTGTAAGGGGGCTCATAATTTCACCCTTACTGTATACTTTTCTTAGAACGAGACGTGTGCATTAATAGAGAGAACGATCTGCATAGAACGTGGCCATGTCAAGAAGTAAACCGTATGGAGAAATCGGAGTGAGTCTCTGAATGAATATTTCGTCCAGCTTTAGACATGTGTTGTAGAGCAGTGGGCACAAACTTAATCATATGGTTGCCGTCTAGTTGCATCTGCAAGTTTTCTGAACGGAACACAGTGGCGGAATGGTGTGCCTTGTTTCCTGATAGTGACATCCCGCAAGAGTTGTCTATAGGCGAAACAATGACGGCTCGTTCCGTAAACTTTACACTAAGAACCGGCGAAGCTAGAGTTGCAGGGCGTGTGAAGGATCTAAAGTTTTGTGCATTTTCTTGCTGCCGCTCCACGATGCGAGTGGGGTTTGCTTTTGGGAAGCTGGCCAGTTGCATAGCGTGTATGCATACGTGCGCGAAACAAGGGTGGTGGTATGCCCCCTCCCCACTTTTCTGTGGACTGGCAAATGCCTGAGCGCGGGGCTGGGGAAAGCCGCGGCTGCTATATTTCGGAGTTGTCATCTAGATGTGTACGGAGGAAGATCCGTGATACACCAATCAATTCCCCAACTGTCAGCATGCGCCGCATTGCTACATCGCTTCACAGCAATGCTGCAGCGCCCCACTGTCTCCAAATCCGCTCTTACCTCGCTATCTGTCCCCTTCTTCCCCGCCCCCGCCGACTCCTCTCCTCCACCGCCGCCTACCTCATACGTGCTTCTTGCACCCCCACCATCCAACGCCACTCTCCGATCCCGCCCCGTCCCTTACTCGTCCACTATGGAGCCCGCCTCACAGGTGCGTCCCTCTTCTCTCACCCAATCATCGCATCCCTACATCCCCCTACCCCTTCACCTTCCGACCCACGACCCACCAAAACAACCCCCCCCCGCCCCCCCCCCTCCCGCGTAATCTAACCTACCCCACTGTCCGCCCTTCCCCATCGAACAGGCGCCCGCTCCAGTCTCGGCGACTCCCTCTTTGCTCTCCTCGATTCCGCGTTTGACCCGCTTCCTCGCCATCGCACTATGCTTCTTCACCTTCCTCGCCTATCCTAAAGTCGTGGGCGCCCCCTTCGTTAATACATTTGCGTTGCTTCCCATGGCTACGTTGGGGGCGTCCAAGATTTGGAACCTCGTCACCGCTGGTTTTCTTGAGCTTAGTCCAGTCAAGTCCGTGGTCAATGTGCTCCTTATTCTCACCATGGGCAAGTGGATCGAGTCCAGCTGGGGGTCCGGACCTTTCTTTCTCTACCTCGTCCTCGTCAACTTTTGCGCTGGCCTCGCCACTTATGTCGTCCTTATGGCTGCTTTCTTTCTAACGAGATTAGACCACTTTCTGTACGTCACACTTTTCGGAAAGATGTTTTGTTTTTTCCCTGGTCTTTTTGTCTCGGATCACTTACGTGTTGCTTTGCAATTCTCTGTACCACATCTCGTTGTTTCATATCCCAGCTTCGCCCCCGTTGGCACCACTAACGGCATATGTGCCGCCCTCCTAGTAGCTGTCAAACAACTCATCCCGGAGCATGAGATCGGCGTCAATGGCGTTAACATCTCCGCTAATTACTTACCCGTTTCATACATCGCCATCACCCTAGTGCTAACCCTCACGGGTTTCGTTTCTGTCGGCGACCTTACCTTCACCCTCGCTGCTTTCCAAGCCGCCTGGCTTTATCTGCGATACTTCCAGCGCCGCAACGGGCAGCGCGGAGACCTCTCCGACGAGTTTCTCTACTCGTCCATGTTCCCCGAACCGCTACGCACAGTCGTCGCCCTTTTTGCATACTGTGGCTATATCCTCTTCAAGCCAGTCCTCATGGCAGGTATCAACGCGCAGCCAGAACTAGAGGCCGCTCAGCAACTCCCAGTCAGTAAGGCTAGTTCGCTAGAGGCTGAACGGCGGCGACAGCGCGCCTTAGAGGCATTAGATAAGCACATGAGCGCCAATGCCGACGACGCCGAAGCTGCTGACAATCAAGTGTAAAAAGAACCAGAACAGTTTGTCGTAGAAGTACTTTCTGGCCTCGCGCCGCTACAGATGTACATACACAATTTGACGCGTCGTTTTAATCGGGCCTAGGCTAGGACTACATCATATGTTCATGTGAAAGACGTGCCGACATCATCATCTGTCTCCTTGAGTTCGTCTTCCAGGAAGCGATATTCAAACACAAACTCGGACTTGATCCGTTGACACCACCCGGACCCTTTGCCTTGTACAACCACGTTTGCATAGTCAAAATAGATGAAAGTACCCGTTTCGTATTCATCCGTTGACATCTTCGGTTCATCATGGCGCTGGAACCAGGTCAGATACTTTTTGTGAAACCGCCATCCTTGTCTTTTCAGTTCCCTGGCTGCCAGGTATTGTTGGTACGTTCCTTGTTGGTAGTAGAAGATGAAGAATAGAGTGTCTGGTTTGAATCGTTCGAACACTTCTCTGCTGTCAAACACCGGAGCCGGCACAGATGGAAAGCTCGGAGGAGTAGCGACTGGGTTTTGCGGAGCAGCCGCCGCAGGTGCTGCGGTGCCGTTTCCAAGATTTCGCGTTGATGGGTTCTGCTTGGGAGCTGCCGTTGACAAGCTTTGTTTCGATGCTTCTGTTGGGGTTTCTGGCATGAACGACATAGCCCCTTCAACTTCTGCGAGTGTCGGATCCATCGCGGCTAGTTTAGCCTGTCTTGTGTTGGCATGCCCATCCCTTTGAATGATCCTTGCTTTTGGACCTACCGCCGACCCACGAACCCCTTCCAGATGCTGTGGGTCGTCGGCTGCATGTGCCATGGCACTCGCCCCATCGGTCTCCGGATTAGGAGCAATTTCTGTGCCATCGATGACTGGTCCTTGTCTGACCACAACATCAGGCAGCTGCGTTTGCCCAGAAACGTGGCGCGAGTCGACGACGACCGGATCGGCAGCTGGAAGGGTTGTCTTGGAGTTTGCGCCAGACTGTACCGCAGTGGCACCTTTGACGACGCTGCTCAACAAAGGGGGATTTTTTCCAGTCGCGTCGAGAGCCGATGCTACACCACTAGAGCTGCGCGGTGAGTGTGTAGCGGACGAGGGAGGCGAGCGGTCGCTTCCTCTAGTAGTCTTGGGTGACATGGCACGAGAGCCTGCGGCCGAAGCGGTAGCACTGGATTTTGAGGCAGCATGTGATGCGGAAGAGGTGCCGCGGCCATTCTTGCCGTTTCGTGGTGATGATGGGCCTTTCTTGTCTCTCGACGAATTGGCACCGTTGGATGTACTGGAGGTATCATCGTCGCGGTCCCCGTGTTTGGATGACTTTTTGGAATTAGCCGCTGATAGAGCTGGGACAGAATCCAGGTTAAGAAGGTCGTACATTTCGTCGTCTTCGTAGAAGTCGGGGTCCTGGTTGCTGTCAATGTAATATTCAACGCTCTCTTTGAGGTCCTCTGTTTCTTCCGGGGTGATGCCATCGTTGTAGACAGCTCTTAATACTCGCTCGAGCATGCCGACATGAAACTCATGCTTAGAGATGTGCTCTTTCAAGTCGGATACACGAGGGTTTTCCTCCGACCTCTTTTTTCGCTTGCCCGAGTTGAGAGTCTCAATTTCGGCCTCCATCTCATCGGACTGTTCCTGTAAAGCGGAAATAGCATCCTTGACCCAGTTTCCCACGGCTGCTTTGGCCTTCTGTTGTGGATCTGTCCTGTCCTGAGCCAGCCCTTCTTTTGAGAAAGCCTTTGTCTTGGTTTCCTTTTCACAAATCTTAAACTTTTCCATCTTCTCCTCAATAAGCTTCCTGTTGGAATCCAGCTTTGATTTATCCTTAATGGAGCTATCCCCTTGCCATGTCTTAATTTGATCGCGCAAGCGCTGGAGTTTCTTGATCTCCTTCTTCAAGTCGCCCTCATATTTCTCCTTCTGGGCCGTAGTAGTGGCCGAATAGACCTTATCCCAAATCTGTTCGAAGACGCCGACGCCCTCATCCACTCTTTTTAGAACCCGGTCGATCTCGCCCTGTAGTTTCCTCGAGGCCATGGGTGGGCTCAACCGTCCGCGTCGTCGCGCGCAGCTGGTCTGAAAAGTGCCGTTGTCTTGACCGAGCGCGGAGCAATCCTTCCCTCATTCAACAGACACTCTCGCAGAGGCGTGTCGTTCACAGCTCGCAGCGCGTCCCGGAAGATCACGCGGAACGGCGAATACACAGAGCGCAAATGGAAGGGATTTTTTGCAGAGCTCTGGGAGTTAAGCGGATCGTGATTGAGCCTGCAAACGGGAGAGTCGGGGTGCAAACTGGACACAAGGTTGGCGGTGATGCAGGCAGCGGAGATGGGACACTAGCTGGTGGCGTGGGATGGTACTCGGGTTTTTTTGGAACATAAAGCACCACCTGCCGCATGCATATCTTCACCGCATCAAATTATCTCAAAAAATCTTACATCTTCTACAGCCTGTCCTTTTACAATCTGCACACGTCGTCCACGTTTCATACATTACTGTTCCAATAGCTCGCGTTCATCCTTAGAGAGGCCAGTAGCTGTGTAGACATCTACAAGTCACATGTCGCGGACCGAAGTCTCAAAGGACATGCCCCGGAGCCGTGATCTCCCCATTCGTCCGGAGCCTTCGCATAGCACCAAGTTCAATGCAACCCGCCTTTATTCCCGCACGCCCGGCACTTGTACTGAGCGCTTCGCAGGGGACGGGCGCGCCCGCGATTGATCAAAATTCGGTGTGGCAGAAGCCCGTGCTATCGGCGCACCTTTCCGCGCCGCCGCTACTATGGTTCCATCACCTGCCGCCCGCGCCGCCGCTGGCCTCGCACGTGACCGTGGTGTGGCTGCGAAGGGACCTGCGCGTGGACGACCATGCGGCATTGCGCGCGGCCGTGCATTCGGGCGGGCTGATCGCGCCGCTGTACGTGCAGACCGGGCGCGCGACCAAGTTGGTGCAGGCGGCGCTGCGCGGTCTGCGTAGCTCACTACGGGAGCGGGGCGCGGAGCTGTACGTCAGGGAGTGCGCCGGGGATGTGGGATGCGAGGTGGCGCGGTTCTGCAGGCAGGTGGGCGCGAAGGCGGTGTACGTGCACCGCGGGACGGGGGAGGAGGAGAGGGAGCAGGAGAGAAGGGTGGGGCGCAGCGTAGGGGCGGGCGTGCAAGTGCACGGGGTGTGGTGGAATGCGCTGGTGGGGGTGGACGAGCTGCCGTTCAAGCTGGACGCGCTGCCGGGTGACTGCGACACGTACGCGCGGCGCGTGGCGGGCGTGGGGGTGCGGCGCCCGGTGGAGGGGCCGGCGCGCGTGCGCGGGATCGGGGGAAGGGTGCGCAGCGGGCGCATTGGGGGGTCTGGGGAGGGGGGAGAGCGCGCGGCGATGAGAAGCGTGCACGAGTTTTGCGAGGGCGGGCTGGCCGTGGTGCGGCAGGGGCGCGTGGGAACGCGGTATGTGGGCGTGGGGCGGTTCGTGGAGCTCGGGTGTGTGAGCGCGCGGCGCGTGTACTGGGAGGTGGTGACGCGCGTGGGCGAGCAGTCCGTGCGGCGGTATTGCATGGAGTTCGAGCTGGTGTGGCGCGACTTCAAAAGGCTGGCGCAGCTCAAGGGGACGCATGGGACAGTGGCCGGGGTGCCGGCAGTAGCGTAGACGGTGTCCTTTGAGGAGGATCGGATTCTCCCCCATTTTCCTTACACGACATCAACCCCGCCACCACCCGTTACTACAGAGCAGACTCGCTTGATACGTGTACTCTCTGTACTACTTTCCATTCGCCGCA